AGAGAGTCCGCCTATCCAGTTGTCCAGGTCCGAAAGCCGCCAGCGAATCGACTTGTTCCCGACTTTTAACGGCCGGGGGAACCTGTCCCGTGCCATTTCCGAGTAGAGCATTGCCCGAGACATTTTAGTTAAGTCGCAGACCTCGGCTACAGTCAGCAGCCGTTCCCCTTCTGCTATAGAAGACATGGAAACCTCCCCGTGTATTTAATCGTCTTCACAAACGTTGATAAGAGTCGTGAAGTAATTTATTGTGTACGAGTAGAGATGGAGGAGCCAGTGGAAATTCTGTCTGGAAACGCTACCGGCCAAAAAAGTGGAGCGGCGCGGACCGCAGACCACCGTAAAAAGTGCGAAGACGAGGGGATTTGTCGGGATTGTGGGGCAGAGCTAAATGGGCACTTGTCGTAGCAATGCAGACAATGTGTGGATGTAGAGGACGTACGGCGGGATGGCAAGCGGGCACTCTGTCGTGCGAAAAAACAACTAGAATTAAATCCGATGGGAGACCTCGCCGCCGCCGAAGGGATTGTGTCGTTGCATCGGATTTGTTTTTTGATAGATAGGGCCAACCGATTGGAAGAGACTTACGACAATCTGGCTAAGCGGTTTGCGGAGCGACTCGTTTCGGCACTGCCGCCGAAGAAACCCGAACCCCTAACAAGGGAGGATTTGCCGCCACTCCCACCTCTTCTCGTCTTCCCCGATGGGCGGGCCCCCGCAGACTGGCCGCAGAAGCGGTACCGGCCAAAGTCAATGAGGGACCGGAGGGACTGGAACGATGACAACCCGCTTGCGGACGTATTTGCGTTTGCAATGTGGTTCTACCTGAAGACTATTCCGCAGATGGCGTTCCGCAGCCATGAAGAGAAATGGCAGGTGGTGGGACTGCCTTTCACAATTGCCCTTACTGAATGGCTAAATGAGTTTGAGTTGGGCCTGCAAAGGTATGACGAGGCGATGAGAAGGACGCTCCTTAACTTCCACGCCCTGGTTAAGGAGCGGACTCCTGACCTGCTAACCAGCCCGGAGCCGCCCGTCCTTCCCCAAGAACCAATTACCGTCGCGGCTGATGTTGCAGCCGATGGGTTGCCCCAGGTGTTGGAGAACAGGCAGGTGCAGGCTGATATAAAAATCCTAGCCGATTACTATGATGACGTGGCAGAACTAGTCAAGGAGTTTGCCCCCATCCTTTCGTCTTCCATAACGCCCTGGACGACCTTAGAGGATTGTCCCGACCTTGGGTCTGCTCTAGCGGATATGGAGGCTGCGGTTGACGCACTGGACGCCTGGGTCACCAAGCACGCGCTGGACCTTCCCTTCCGCCGGAGCGGAGAGCCCGATTTCCAAAAAGTTGTCGAAATTATGGGTAGAGGCAACCGAACGGCACAATGAAAGGTACAATAGACGGGACGAGCTGTATTATTGTCCAACATTCGTATCTGAAATTGGCGATATTTGAATTAATACGAATCCTCCGTCGCCACCAGCCCTTAACGCCGTTTCCCCTTAATTGGAAACCAGACAGTCTCTCTGACCTTCGTTTCCGTGCCCCGTAGGTTTGTCCCGAGTATGACGTTACGCCTATGCCACCATATCTGATACCGGGCCTGTCAGTCCAGGAAGCCAGCCACATCTGCATGAACGTATGCAGGGCCATGTGCTGTCGGGGGCCTCTGTTGCTGGAACTGGCTGCGGAGGAACTGCCCAGCTTTGTCGAAGAAGCAACGATGCTCGGGGTCGAGCTGCATATGAATAGAAGTCCCGAGGGTGGTGGTTGGGTTAAGTTTTCCGACCATGAGGGAGAGCGTTGTCCCATGCTAGACCCGGACACTTTCGCCTGTCGCATCTATCAGCGCAGGCCTGAAAGATGCAGGGAGTTTCCTGAAAAGTGGACCCCGGGCTGCCCCATATCCGGGGGGTAATGGGCACCAGCCGCAGTCTGAGTAAATATGTCTGGGGAAAAGCCTGTCAGCCTACTTACCAACTTATCGGCCTTCGACAGTAACCGCTTACTCTTCGTTATCCATCTGTTGTCCCAACTCGTCCAGGAACCTCTCGATCTCAGGCGACAGATTCACGTCGGAAGCAGCGGCTGTCCCCTCGACTGATGCCTGTTCTTCGTCCTGCTGAGCATCGTAATAAGCTTCCATCTGTTGAATCAGCGACTTAAGCTCGGAATTGCGCTCGACCGCCGAAGTAAGCTCCCGGTATTGACGTTGCCCACGCCGAACCGGAGCGAGGTCTGAAGGAATATTCGGATATACGGAGCTAAGGCATTCAATCATCCGAGAAGTACCGGTGAAATCTTCCTCAAGTTGCAAATACTGCGGCAGATGCACCATGAAGTTTATGGTCTCAATGCCCATACGGTCGATGCCTTCTGAGACCAAATTCATAATGGTGGTTGGACCCTGGTAATTGCTGCTCCGGAGCTTCAAATTGGGCACTGGCTTAGTTTGGGGCACTTCTCCCAAAGAGCCGGTAACCAGCAGGGGACGAGTGTGAGGTACGGCGTCGTACATTGCCCCCAACCGGCAATATCGCTTGACCCCGAAGTACTTGATCACTTCCAGTATCGAGTCGGTGTAATCCTCGCTGCCGGCGTGGGGTTCCATCATGTGCAGGAACAGATAGTCCGGGCCCTCTTCTGAAGTGGCATATCGCAGGTTACTATTGGGTATTGTAACCCTTCGTTCCCCCTGTACCAAACGGATATTGGGCCGGTATCTGGTGAAGTCAAAAAAATTGCCAGGCCTTGCCAGCTTGCCCAGATCTTTGGAACCCAGAAATCTTTCCAGCCGGCTAAGGGTCAAGGTCCCAACGCTTCCCACGTCAACCCAGGGACGGATCATTGCGAAGGCGTGGGGATCTCGTAGCTCCGGGATCGGTTCTACAATTTCAAATGCACCAATTCTCATACCGACATATTGCCAGAAATGGACAACCAATTCAACCCATTGAAGGGCTCACGATAACGCCACATGGTTCATGTATGATCTTGTCCACCCTCTGGAGCGAAGCCCCCCTTTATTGCCCGCCTGGTTTCCCCCCTTTGCCAGTGCCGCTTCGTAGTATTCTCCCCTCCGATCCCCATGTTCCCTGGATATGCACCTTCCCACTCGGGTTCTCTTTTACTTACCTAAGGGAGGGGAATCCATTCTTTGTGCCCTGCATTGGTAAACCTGACCGGCCTGCGTGGTAGCAGCCGGGCTTCTCAAGCTACGCTCGGGGTGACATAGTACCAATGCAATCATTCCTTCACACTCCTACCCCATTCTTGCATTCGTAACATCCGAAAGGTATTCTTCCTGCATTCTCGCCGTAGTCTCATGACCACTGCTTTGCGCCGAATCTCAACTAAACAATGACAGCCCCCTCCAAATCTTTTCGCAGGCGTCGCGGAAGGTTTCGCTATCCGCTGGCCAGGTTGTCCAACGCTCTCCGTTATCCGGACTTTCGCGTTCTTTGGTTTTCAACTGTCTCCAACCAGCTAGGTTGGGGGATGCAGCAAGTGCTGCTGGGCTGGCTGGTATTCGATATGACGGGCAATGCTGGCATGGTTGGCGCTATTTTTGCCGCTCGCTCTGCCCCCAACCTGATAGTTGGCCTTGTTGCCGGCTCGATCACCGACCGCTTCGACCGCCGAATGATCATGAGGCTTTCCTGCGGAGTGATGCTGGGGCTTTCCCTCGTTGCGGCTTGGCTCCTGTATGACCAACTGCTGTCCATTTGGTTGCTTCTGGTTACTGCATTTCTTCTGGGAGCTGCCCAGGCTTTTTATATGACCTCCCGCCAGGTTTACGTTTACGACATCGTTGGAGGCCGCCGGGCAATAAATGGCATCGCGCTGGTTTCTCTTGCCCAGTGGACTGGGGGAATAATCGGTTCCCTGGCCACCGGCGTGCTGATAGCCTGGCAGGGTCCCGCGGCGGCATTCCTGGTGATGGGCATAACCTACGGAATGGGCATCCTGATAATGCACCGGTTACGGGAAGCCGGCGCTTCAGCACCGGCGGAACGAGAAGCCATTCTGGATAACCTGTGGACTTACTTCCGGGCCCTCAAGACCAATCGGGTAATGTTGAGCCTCATAATTTCCACGGCCGGGTCCGAGATTCTGGGCTTTTCCCACCAGGTCATGCTCCCCATCCTGGCCAAAGAAGTCTTGGGGGTGGGAGCCTTCGGTCTAGGCCTTCTCACCGCCTTTCGCTTTCTGGGCAGCGCCGTTGGAGTGTTCGCAATGGCTGCAATGGAACGGCTGCGGAGAAAAGGATTCCTCCTACTGTGCATTATCGGCACGTTCGGCATCGGCGAAATTCTCCTGGGTCAATCTCCCTTTTTCTGGGTTGCGGTCATTTGCGTCATGTTCATTAACCTTCTGGCTTCAGCGACGGACATACTGCATCACACTCTGCTGCAGCAGAGCGTCTCCAACGAACAACGAGGACGAGCCATGGGTTCGTGGATATTCGGCATTGGCATGGCCCCGGTGGGTCAACTGGAAGTAGGGTACTTGGCCGGTGAAACCAATTCCAGAACCGCTCTGCTAGTGAATGGAGTCGCTCTAATTGGTTTAGCTTTGGCTATGGGCCTGTTCATGCCCCGTTTACGCCGACTGCAGTAGGACATCAAGACTTTCTTCACAATAAATTATCGCTGCTCGCGCTGAATCATCGGGCACCTCAATTTCTCACTTTCAGTATGGCCGCCAATAAACTATAATCGCGCTAACGAAAGCTCCAGGGAGGCGTTCGATGATTACCAAGTTCGACAGCCTTTATGCAGGCCACGTAGACATGGACAACCTCGGTTACGGTGGCATACCCGTTAATGACCGGTCTTTCTCAGACGAACACTTGGCCACGGCCTTTGATAAGGCGCAGGCCATTGCTCAGACCATGGACCGCCTCGGTTACGATACGATGTGGATGGCGGAGCACCACTTCCAGCCTGAGGGCTACGAGTGTATACCCAATCTGTTGATGCTTAATGTACATCTTGCGCACTTGACCAAGAATCTCAAGTTTGGTTGCGGGTTCAATATCGCTCCCATGTGGAACCCGCTGCGTCTGGCAGAGGACTTTTGCCACCGCCGACATTCTTACCCGGGGCCGGGTGATTTTCGGGGTGGGCCGCGGCTACCACACCCGTGAGGTCGAGTCCTTTGGTTCGCCCTTGCTGGATCAGTCCGCCAACCGGGACTTGTTTGAAGAACAGGTTGAATTGATCTTCAAGTCCTTCAACGAACGGTCCTTCTCCCACCAGGGAAAGTACTACACCATTCCGCCAAGAGTCCCCTACCGTGGCTACGAACTGGAAGAGATAACACTGGTGCCCCGGCCCAGAAATCTTCCCGTGGAGACTTGGCAACCTATTCAAAGCGCCACACCCCGGGCACTGGACTTCATGGCCAAGCACAACATCAAGGGCATGATTGGCGGCGGGGTCTCCGAGGGAGGCGCTATTCGCGACGTGATCGAAGCCTACCGGGATGCTCGAATAAGGGCAGGTCGGGAGGACATTCAGCTGGGTGAAGACCTTGGTATCGGTTTCCACTTCTTCCTGGCCGACACCCAAGAGCAGGCAATCAAGGAGGCCGCCAAATACTACGAGGAAAACCTCAAAATGTTTGGTCCCCTGCGACTTGTCCGTTCCTTGAGCGACGATCAGATTGAGGCCATGGGCGACCCCCAGCGGGCCTTGACCGCCGGTTTGCCCACCATCGAGCGGGCCGTAGAACGTCAAGGCTTCCTGTGCGGGCCGCCAGAGCTCATTATCGAACAGCTTAAGGCCTTGGAAGAAGAATACCCTGGTCTTGACCGAGTCGGCATGAGCCACCCTGTGGGTACCCCGGAGAAGGTAATTCTTGAGCAACTGGAATGGCTGGCTGCGGATGTAATGCCCGCTTTCACCACCCGAGTTGCGGAGCCGGTCCCGGCCGACAACTAGAAAATATGTTCAAGTTGTCCGATGCGTTCTGCGTGAAAAGAGGAGAGGAGGTTAAAGTGAAATCCACGCCTCCTCTTCTTTCCGTATCATTTAGTGACCCTAGAGACGAATAGTCAGAGAAGAAAGAGTTTTGGAATCGGGTTCACATTCCAGGTTTGGCAAGATACTACCCTTACTGTCTGTTGCCGCAGTAATGGTAATGATCGTCGGTGCGCTTTGGGCAACGCAGAACGCTTCTCACGATTTAAAAAACACCGTTTCCGCCGAAGTAACCAGGTCAGAACGACTGGAAGCGCGGCCCACCGCTACCCCGCAACCTACTCCGACCCCGGCAATTATCACGCCTGCAGGCACCCAGTCAGCTCCTGAATTGCAGGGCATCGTTCAATGGCTTAACAGCGAGCCTCTAACCATGGAGGCCCAAGAAGGAAAGGTGGTCCTTATTGACTTCTGGACCTACTCTTGAATTAACTGCAAACGTACCCTGCCGTATGTAAGGGACTGGTATAACAAGTACGCCGACAAGGGTCTGGTGGTAGTAGGGGTCCATGCGCCTGAGTTTGAATTCGAAAAAGACGAGGGCAATGTTAGAGCGGCGCTTCCCAAGCTTGAAGTCACTTGGCCCGTGGCTATGGACAACGACTTCAAGACTTGGAGAGCCTACGGCAACCGGTACTGGCCCCGCAAGTACCTGATCGATCAGAATGGCGTTGTTCGTTTTGACCATATCGGTGAAGGAGCATACAAGGAAACGGAGCTTCACATAAGGAATCTGCTGGTCGAAACAGGCGCTGATGTCTCGGGAATTACCGTCGGAGGCGTCGAATCTCAGTGATCTTCTTAGAAATGACACTTGGGTTACCCATTGGCCGCTTTTCTAAAAAATTGAAAAGCGGTTTTTGGTGTTTTTAAATACGATTTTTCGGAGGAATACCTTAAATGGTCCAGTCAAACCCTCCTGCAGTACCTGCTTTGATTCCCAGGAAATTGCTTTTCGGTAACCCCGATAAGGCCTCGCCGCAGATAAGTCCTGACGGAACATACCTTAGTTACTTGGCTCCGGTCGACGGTGTCCTCAACGTTTGGGTGGCACCTGCCGATAACCCAGGCTCGGCCAGGTCCATCACAAGTGATACAGGACGCGGGATTCGCCTGCACGGCTGGACTTACAACGGAAACCAGGTCGCTTACCTCCAGGACAGCGGAGGGGACGAGAACTGGCACATATACACGGTCAACGTGGACTCCGGCGAGTCCAGAGACATCACTGCCATTGAAGGCGTCCGGGCTCAGATCCAGGAAGCCAGCCCCAAACATCCGAAACACCTCCTCGTTGGACTGAACGACCGGGATCCTCAGTTCCACGACATTTATCGTGTTGACCTTGATTCCGGCAACCGCACTTTGGTACAACAGAACGACGGATTCGCAGGATTCGTTACGGATGACGATCTCAACATACGCTTTGCCGCCCGACTAACTCCCGACGGAGGTTCCGAATACCTGCAAAAGTCGTCGGATGGGAATTGGATACACTCGTTCACCATCGGAATGGAAGACTCAGTAACCACCTCGCCACTGGGTTTTGACAACACGGGCCGGATCCTGTTCCTGGTCGACAGCCGGGGACGTGATACAGCCGCGCTGAAGTCGATAGACCTGGAGACGGGCACGGAAACGGAGTTGGCTTCAGACTATCGCGCCGACGTGGACGACACCTTGATCCACCCCACGGAAAAGACCATTCAAGCCGTCTCTTTCAACTACGAACGCAAGAGGTGGCAAGTGCTGGAGGAAGCCTTAACCGCCGACCTGGAATACCTGTCTACCGTCGCCGAAGGAGACATGGAGGTCGTTAGTCGCACCCTGGACGACAGTTGCTGGATAGTTGCCTATTTGCTGGATAACGGCCCGGTACGTTATTACCGGTATCTTCGGCAAGAGCGGGAAGCTCAATTTCTTTTCACCAACCGGCATGCCCTCGAGGATCTGCCCTTGGTCAAAGTCCACCCCGTCACAATCCAGGCCCGTGACGGGCTGGACCTGGTCTGCTATTACTCCTTGCCCCTGGAAGCCGACCCGCATCAAATTGGCACAACACCGGAGTCCCTGCCCATGGCTCTGCTGGTTCACGGCGGCCCCTGGGCGCGGGATTCCTGGGGCTACAATCCTGTTTACCAGTTGCTGGCTAACCGAGGGTATGCTGTGCTGAGCGTGAACTTTCGCGGTTCCACGGGTTTCGGAAAGAACTTTATTAATGCCGCCAACCATGAATGGGGCGGCAAAATGCACAATGACCTGATTGACGCGTTGAATTGGGCCATAGACCAGGGAATCGCCGACCCGGAGCGCGTAGCAATTATGGGCGGCAGTTACGGCGGTTATGCCACACTTGTCGGTATGACCTTTACACCGGAAGTATTCGCCTGCGGAGTTGACATAGTGGGCCCCTCTAACCTGGTTACCCTGCTGAATACTGTCCCCGCCTACTGGCAACCCATGATCGACCTGTTTACCAGCCGCGTGGGTGACCACCGCACCGAAGAGGGAACCGAGTTCCTGCTAGAGCGCTCTCCCCTTTCCTATGTGGACAACATTTGCCGGCCGCTTCTCATCGGCCAGGGCGCTAACGATCCGAGGGTCAAGCAGTCCGAGTCGGACCAGATAGTTCAGGCAATGCAAGATAAGGAGATTCCCGTAACCTACGTCCTTTATCCAGACGAAGGCCATGGGTTTGCCAGGCCGGAAAACAATCTTTCCTTCTTTGCAGTGGCCGAAGCCTTCCTGGCACGGCACCTGAGTGGCCGGTACGAGCCTGTCGGTGACGACCTGACGGGAGCGTCCATTACGGTTCCGGCGGGCCTGGAGGGTATTCCAGGACTGACCGAAGCGTTAGGATAATTGGCCAAAAAAAACGAGGGTGGGATCGATTCCCACCCTCGCTACAGTGTCCTTCCGTCGGTATTAGCGGATTGCCTACAGGTTTATCGCGGCTTCGGCGTAGTCCCTTTCCTTTGTGTAAATCTGTATGCGGTGCCGCACCGCTTCGGCAACATAAAGCCGATCATCGGAGTCTAGTTTGACCGCTATGGGGCGGTTGAACCGCCACTCGACTTCCATGTTCGTGCGGCGGCGGGCCTTGGCAACGTCGGGGTTGGCGTTGATGTAGTCTTGAACCCACGGTGAAGGGGTCTCGGCGTCCCCCACCAGAGAGGCAACAAACCTGCCGTCGGGCTCGTATATCTTGACCTGGTGATTGCCCCAGTCGGCCACATAAACGTCGCCCTCAGAGTCCACTGCAACGCTGGTGGGCCGGTTCAGGGTTCCTACGCCTTCGGATGTCTCCCCGAACTCCAACAGGTATTTGCCATCGGCAGAGAACTTCTGGACTCGATCGTTCTTCCAGTCCGCAACGTAGACATTGCTCTCGCCGTCGGTGCAAATACCCCAGGGCTTGTTGAACTGGCCGGGGTTGCTTCCTTCGGCGCCCCAACCGCTCACGTAAACTCCGTCCTTGGTAAACTTCTGCACTCGGTGGTTTTGGCTGTCTACTACCAGGACGTTGTTGTCGCTGCCGACAACCAGTCCGGCGGGGCCCTTCAATTGGCCTTCATCACTACCAGATTCACCCCACTTGTTCAGGAACTGCCCATCCTTGTCCATAACCGTAATTCGGTTTTGGTTTTCGTCAGAAACGTAGATGTTCTCGTCACTATCCAGCGCGATAGCCATGGGCCAGACAAATTGGCCGTCTCCCATTCCGAACCGGCCAATGTCCGCGATATACTCGTGATTCAGCGTGCACTTGCTGATGCGCAGGGTTATCTCGTCTACACCCCGATTCAGCACATACATCGTGTTGTTGCTGCCCAAGGCAAAATCCATAGGCACCAGGAAGCCGATACCCGAGGTCGCGTACATTCCCATGCAGTGACTGTAGTCGAAAACTCGCCCGGCGGCGACGGTAGTGAGCATGTCTGCCTCCTTGTTTGACATAATACAGACAGGGCAAAGGAGCGGCCCTATGCCGTTGCTTTACCCTGTCTGTTATTGGTCAGATTACCAGATGTTAGCCTAAAGAAAGTCGAGTTGTTCGAACTCGCCGCCAACTATCGGCTTGGCATCCAGCCCCAGCCAACGCTCGGCGAAGGTTGAATAGAAGCCGCGGAAGTCATAACTGGGAACCAGGTCCCCTTCCAGCAGGTCCTGAGCCCTCAGAGAGGGATATTCCCCGTACATGCCCGGGTTGACACCATCACCAATGGCGAAGGCAACTCCTCCCCGGCCGTGGTCGCAGCCGGTGCCATTGTCGTGTACCCGGCGCCCAAACTCAGTGAAGACCAGCATTACCACGTTATCAGAGGCATCATGCTCTCTAAGGTCGGCAAAGAAGTCGTTTACCGCTCCGGAAACATCGGTCCACAGCTTGGCATGGGCGGGCAACTGGTTGAAGTGAGTGTCAAAGCTACCGTACTGGGTATAGAAGATCTGGGTTCCGAGGCTGGCCAAGTGAACCTGCGCCACGCTCTTTAGACTCTTTGCGATGGGGTTGTCGGCGTATTCTATGGAGGACGAATACTGTTCGGGGGCGGTCTTGATAATGTCGGCGCCCTTAAGTGCGTCTCGGCCGGTTTGCCCCAGGTAGTCCATAACGTCACCACTGCCGACAGCAGGTGAATATACGCGGGAGAAGAGTTCCAGCATCCGGTCCCGCTCCTCACCACCGCCGATGGCCGGAATGTCGGTCAACACACCGTAAGAAGCCAGGTCTGAAACGGACGTAACCGGCACGCCGCGCAGGGCCATAGCCCTGGGCAGCCCCTGGCCCAAGTTAACGCCCTTCAGGACATTGTCGCCGCTGGGGTCGAGATCACGAATTACTCGGCCCAGCCAGCCCTCGGTTCCAACTTTGTCCGGCTCACAGGTGTGCCAAATGTCCATGGACCGGAAGTGAGAGCGGGACGAGTTTTCATAGCCAATGCCGTGAATGATGGCCATCTTGTTGTCATCCCATATTCCCTTCCAGGGAGCCATGCTAGGGTGGAACGCCAAGTCGTCGGTAAACTTGATAAGCTGGTCTTCCGGCAACCCCAGGTTCGGCCGGTTGTCCCGGTACAAGGGATTGGTAAAGGGTACTACGGTATTCAGATAATCGTTGGCGCCGGAGAGCTGCAATACCACCAGCACCGGATCTTTTTTGGTTGAGGCCATTGGATTGCCCTCCTGTCTTGGCAATAATGGTCGGCTTTGAGTCGCCGACTTAAGCGAATTGAAATTCCCGGGTTGCCGCGATCAAAGCCAGCATAACTCCGGTGCGCCGTTCGGATTCGGCGGCTGCGTCTTCCGTGTCCCAACTGATGTCCCCGCCTTGCTGGGCCTGAGTCAACAGTTCCTTGTAGGTTCCTTCGTCAACCTCCACCGGCCCAACGAGGTCCAGGCAAGCGTTTACGAATTGTGCTGGGCTCAATGTCCCCTGCTCTTTCAGTCCTGAAAGTATCGACTTGATGCCCGGCAGCGAGGTGTCGGACAGTAACTTGGCGGCGAAGTTCACTCTCCGTACCAAGGCGCCACCGTCAATCCACTCGGAACCGGTGTGCCAACTCTCCACACTGGGCGGGTTCATCAATTCCTGCCCTTGCCAGCCGCACTCGAAAGCCAACTGGGTGAAGCCCGTGCGCGGCTGGTTGAAATTGCCAGCCATCCTGACGGTGCTGACCACCAACTCGGCGGGACTCTTTACGTGCGCGTACCGGGCATTTTTAAAGAAGTCGGAGTTGAACAGGGCTCTGAGTATGGACTTGATGTCGGCACCGGAGTCCATGTACGCCTTCACCAGGGTGTTTATCGCTTTCTGATCATTGGGCGGGGTGATGTTCCAGGCCGGCACCTGAGGCTCGTCTGCCACAAAGAAATTGTAGAGATGGCGGGAAAGGAACCGGGCCGTGTCTTCTTGCTTTACGACGATATCAACAATGTCGTCACCGTTGAAGTTGCCGGTGTTTCCAAGGAACTGTTTTTCCCCGTAATCGTGGTCTTCAGGCTTAAACTCGAAGCTCCAGTAAAAGCGGCCCACCGGCTGGCGAGGCGGCTTGGTGCCAATAGTCCAGCCCGTAAAAGCCCGGGAGGCTTCCTTGATGTCGTCCTCGGAATAGTGACCCACCCCCATGGAAAACAGTTCCAGCAACTCCCGGCCCCAGTTTTCGTTGATAGCGCCGTAGTGGTTGCCGTTGTTGTCCAGCCAGTAAATCATTGCCGGATTCTGGGCCAGATTCACCAACAGATTCGGGAAGTTCGTCATGCCTTCTTTCCGGAACATGGCGACCTGCGCCAGCATCTCCGGCGGGTTATCCACTTTGGAATTGCCGGTAGCGAATAGCTGGTGCCAGAAAAGCGCCATCTTTTCCTTCATAGGCCACTTGGTGTTTACCATTCGGTAAACCCACTCGGTCTGGGCGGCCACCGGCGCCAGGGAGCTTTCGAACTGAGGGAAATAGCGGTAAAGCTCGTCCTCATCTATACCGGAATCGTCACCCGGATTGAGCAACTCCTCAACAGTGGCCTCATAGCCTTTGGCAGCCCGCTCTTCCAATTCGGCACGGGAGGCGCCAAAACCTGCTCGACGCATTAGATGAGCCATTAAGGCGATGTCTTCTTGGCTCGGCATACCTTTCCTCCAAACTATTGTTTTAAGACTCTTCTTACTGCCAATCGACGAATCAACTATCTGGTAGCTGCTTGCGTAGCTGCCATTTCTTCGTCCCAAGGCCCGGGAAAGTGTCCGGACATGCGGCCTTCACCCATGAAAATATTCTCTTCACGGTTCCACTGGCTCCGAGGCAATTCGTATGAAACCTCGACACCGTTCCCGTCCGGGTCACTGAAGTAGATACCTATAGAAATGCCGTGGTCGGAGATGTGGCCTATGGGGACGTTCTTTTCCTTCAGCCGGCAGTAAAACTCTTTCAAGTCGTCCAGGCTCTCCATCATCCATGCCATGTGGTTCAGGCCAACTTGACGGTGCTGGACGCCTGGCGCCTCTTCGCCCACTTCAATCAAGGCAATTTCATGGGACTGTTCGATGTCAGCAGACATAAACGCCGCGCGCCCAAGCTTGAAGTCATAAGTATGGAGGCCCAGGATATCTTCATACCACTGCTGGGACCTCTCGGCATTACGCACGAGCACATGTTTACGTGTCCCAGGGACTTTGGCTTGTAGCTCATACCATCACCTCATTGCTTGAGTTCCGGCTACAGATTGCTAGCATAAAAGTACCACAAAGCTTCGAAAGGCGCAATAAAACTCGGCGCTTCACAGATACGGCCGGGAACGGATCAATGCTGTCAACTTTCGGCCGGTGCAAAGGGAACAATATCCCTTTGGAAGCGCTCCATGGCATTGAACTTGTCGTGGAAGGACTCGCCCGGTATCTCCATTATGATGTGGCTGACTCCGGCATCAGCGTAGTCCCGGATGTCCCCAATTATGTCCTCGGCCGTGCCCTGCAACGCACCCCGATCTCCTGCGACGAGGGAATCGGAGAACTGAAGGTTGCACCGAAAGGATATTTGGGGAGGAGACTCCCTGCTAATTCGTCGGCAGTAGTTGCGCATATAGTCGGCCTTGTCCTTCACCTCTCTGGCCGGAATCTGCACCGGATGCCAGAAGTCGCTCATATTTTGCCGCCCGCCGCGCCCCCGCCCGGCTTCGCCCGCCGATCCAGACAGGCGGGTGCGGTTGCTGCACCGGCATAGGGGAAAACGTCACGTCGTTTAAGGAAAAGAGCTCACCTTCAAATTTGGGAGTTTGATTGGTCCATAGTTCTTTAAGCAACTGCAAATATTCGTCGCTTACCGCCCCCCGTTTCTCGAATTCGGCATTGAGTGCCTCAAATTCGCCTTCCATCCACCCAACGGCGGCGCCGAATATGACCCGTCCGTTGGAAAGCACGTCGGCAGTAGCGATGGCCTTGGCCAGTATCACGGGGTTTCGGTACGGCAGAATGACGACGCTGGTACCAAGGTTAACTCGCTTGGTGACCGCGCCCAGGTGGGCCAGGAGCGTAATGGGCTCCAGCATATTGTGGCGGTACACAATCTCCGGCGGCCGGTCCGGCAGCACGTGAGGCACGATAATGTGATCGGTAACCCATACCGAGTCACATCCAATTTCCTCGGCCCTTACGGCCATTTCAGTGAGACTTTCAGTGTCTATGGCACGACCGTAATGCGGAATGCAAACGCCGAATTTCATGGCAATTGTCCTCCAATCCTCGGAGTTCGCGCCACTCGAACGACATAATCGCACCGTCGTGGTCACGGCGGGAGGACGGGAGGTAGTCAGCAATACAAATAGCGCGCGGGGCGCCTGATGCGCCAAATCAAATGGAGCGACAGCGGCTGGAAGGCAGAAGGAGTGTCAGCTGTCTATGCTGGTCCGGGTGCCGGCAACGTCGCCCCCCTCGCGAGGTCTAAACGGAAGCCCGGAACTGTCTGTGACACGTGAAGTTGCTAGAAGCGCACGCGCGAGACGAGGCAGCCTCCCGCACCGGTGGCCACCAAACGCGATATATCAACTCCGCCTCAAACCAACGTCCTCAAACCCTTGGAATAATCACATTAATTTTCAAACCGCGCGGGAGCGAGACGGTCGACCTGTAATGCGGCAGTGCAAACCCACAGACATCATCTTGGGATGGGTCCGACCCTCCTCATATAGGCAGTCAAAGGAGTCCTTCAGGTATTCAAAGAAATCGCCGGTACTAACCAGACCACCCCGCCAGAAACGGGCGTCGTTGGTCTCAAAACTGTACGGAATCACCAGCCACGGCCTTTCGGCGATGGATACGTAGTATGGCAGATCATCGTTGGTTGCAAGGCTATCGTAGACGAACCCGCCTTCTTCGACCACCAGTTCCCGCGTGTTTATGCTGGGGCCGTAGCGGTAACAGTCACTAAAGCCGTCTCGCCGTGTGCGCGTTATGCTTCCCCGTCTTTCGCATGTCTTTCCAAATCGGTCTCTTCCGCTTCTTCGTCACTAGTCAGCGTGAACTTACTCTGGCCAGCGTAGCCAGTGGCCGCAAGGTTCGTGGCCTCGAGCAACAATGTCACCGGCCAGCACGGGGTTTCTCTCCAGCGCCTGAGCACAGCAATAAAAGGTTGACTTGACCTGGTGCCGGTCGAATATGTCCAGCAGCCTCCAGACGCCAACCCGGCTGCCGTATTCGAAGAAAGATTCGTTGTAAAGGTCCCGTTGTCCATCCGGAACGGGCGAGGGTACTTCATTATTGGTCTCGTGATGGTCATCCCCGTCCAGCAGGGAATATTCTGAACCTTCTTCGTAATTAACCACCAATGATATGGCTATTCTGGCCCGGTTCGGCCACTCGATTTGAGGTACGTTCTGCCCATAGCCAACAAAGTCCCGTTGCGTCGCCAATACTTTCCTCTCCGTTAACTCTATCGATATTACGTTTTGCGTTCATTATAGCCCTTACCTTTGGGAAATGGGACGAATAGAAATCCACCAGGCGTATGCAGGCACTAGCTACAATTTGTCAACGCTTTCCTCCCAAACTTTAGTACGAAATGGAGGAATGCAATTCTTGCACTAATAGCGTTGACACTGTTTGTTCCGCTGTTTACACTCGCCGCTATCGAACCCATTCGAATTGAATTGAGGACCTGAGCCATGCCGGATCTGCAAGAGCTATTCGCCCAAGTTGACTCCATGCAGGATGAAGTTATCGCCCTGGAACGAGCCTTGGTACAAATTCCTTCGGTGAACACCGGCTTCATGCCCACCGGAGACGAAACTCCGGTCTGCGAGTTAGCGCGGGACTTCCTTGCTGGTGACGGCATCGATTCGGAAATCCTTGAATCCGCTCCCAACCGGGGCAATTTGATCGCCCGTTTAGAGGGCCGCTCGGGTCAAGCAGGCTTAATGTTCATGTCCCACACCGACGTAGTGCCGGTTGAGGACGAATCCAAGTGGCGATTTCCTCCTTTCAGCGCCACCATCCACGAGGGCAGGATATTCGGACGGGGCGCCTCCGACTGCAAAGGACTCCTTACTTGCCAGCTAATGGCCCTTCGCCTGTTGAAGCGCAACGGAATTGAGCTTGAGGACGGACTTATCCTGGCTGCCGGCGCCGACGAGGAACATGGCGGCAGGTACGGTTTTGGCTGGCTGGCTGACAATCACCCCGACAAGTTGGCCGCTCCCTATGCTGTCAATGAAGGGGGTGGCACGCCGGTCAGTGCGGCTGGAGCCTTGACATATATACTTGGAGTAGGCGAAAAAGGCCGATTACAAGTTGAAATCGATGTAAAGGGCACCAGTTCCCACGCATCTGTGCCTTGGCAAGGAACAAATGCCCTTTATATCGTTGAGCAGGCAGCACTAAACGTATGAAGGGGAAGGAGGAAACCCATTGAGGGCTACAATCCCGAGCGGGATACCTCTACCGCCATTTTCGACCACCTTTCGACCTTTGCTATTGAGGACAGGCCTTCACCCGCCAATGTCGACGCCATCATTTCCGACATCGAGTCGGACAATCCCCGGTTTGCCTCAATGCTGCGGGCGCTGTCCCGCATGACTCTTACACCAACCATGGTTCGGGCGGCATAAAGAACAGCGTTCCTGAGTCCATCCGACTGACCTGCGACGTGCGTACCCTGCCCCACCAGGACGAACAGTACGTCCGTCAACAACTTGACGAAGTCCTAGAGGGAATTGAAGGTGTTTCCTACGAGATTGACTACATGGCCCGACCCAATTCGTCACCCTTTGAGTCTGAACTTTCGTCCAGCCTGCGTCGGATAACCGCTCAAGCATTGGACCGGGGCGATATCCAATGGGTGCCGGCGATCAGTAATGGCTTTACCGATTCACGTTTCACGCGTCCCCTTGGTACAGTTACGTACGGCTTTACCGGCTCTCACCCCGACGACGATCCCATGCTTAATTTCACGCACGGAACCAACGAATCAATGGGGATAAGGAGCCTGATCAGCGGCACCAAGATAATGCTGGGGCTGGCCTGCGATATGCTCGCCGTCAAATAGTGGGCTCGCTATGTTTGTGGCCGTACTTTCCCTTCGTTGACAAAGGTATAAACCTTCTATAGAGTCGGCTCAACCCATAAGGTAGCGAAGTCCCGTGATTCGGTATATTCTTCCTGAATTTTGACCAGGGCGGCCGTGAATGGCATCTAATGACTTGGAAAACGAAGTAGTTCTTGAAGTAGAAGACCTCCGCACTTACTTCAGCACTCGTTGGGGTACGGTCAAGGCAGTTGACGGTGTCAGCTTCGACCTGCGCCGCGGGGAAACTCTGGGCATTGTTGGCGAGTCGGGCTGCGGCAAGTCCGTAACCATGCTCTCATTAATGCGCTTGGTTCCCACTCCCCCAGGCGAAATTGTATCTGGGAAAATTGTCCTACAAGGACAGGATATTCTGCAGCTGACCGAGCACGAAATGAGCCGGGTGCGCGGCAGCCAGATAGCCCTGATTATTCAGGACCCCATGACTTCCTTGAACCCTGTCTTTTCCATTGGAAACCAGGTCAATGAGGCAATTCAAATCCACCAGGACATTCCCAACTGCGCAGTGTGCGGGAGCACACCTTGTCCGTGTTGCGCAAGGTGAACATTCCTGCCGCAGAATCTCGTGTAAAAGACTACCCGCATCAGTTGAGCGGCGGTATGCGCCAGAGGGTAGTGGGCGCCATCGGCATTTCCTGCGAGCCTGCGGTCTTGATCGCCGATGAACCGACAACATCTCTTGACGTTACTATCCAGGCCCAATATCTCAAGTTGCTGAAAGATCTGCAACAGCAGCAAAACCTCGCCCTGATTTTCATCACCCACGACTTCGGCGTCGTTGCCAAGATGTGCGATAAGGTGGCCGTGATGTACGCTGGCAAAATCGTAGAGATGGGAGATGTTAGAGAAATTTTCAACACCCCGTCACACCCTTACACGGAAGCGTTGCTGGCATCGGTGCCCAAGCTGGAAGAAGACGTGGACCGATTGTACGCCATTGAAGGTCAGCCACCCGCCCTCCACGACTTGCCTCCCGGTTGCTCCTTTGCCGACCGCTGTCCCTATGTCATGGACCGTTGCCGAGACGAATATCCTCCCGCTTTCCAGGTATCTGAAACCCATAAGTCGGCCTGCTGGAGGTTGGCATGACCACTGCTGCGCAACCGCCCGTCTCTTCTAATCCGGAATCCGCCCTGCTGGACGTAAGGGACCTGAAAAAGTACTTTCCCGTCACCAAAGGTTTGCTATTTTCAAAGACTACCGGTTATTTGAAGGCGGTGGACGGCATTTCCTTCCAGATCCAACGGGGCGAGACCTTGGGCATAGTTGGGGAATCGGGTTGCGGCAAAAGCACCACGGCCAAGTTGTTGCTAATGTTGGAAGAACCTACTGAAGGCCGAATCCTCTTTGAGGGAGAAGACATCCATCACACGGACTCCAGCCATCGGCCGGCCTATCGAAGCTCTTGATAGC